AATTGTCACCCCTTTGCAGTATTCACACCTTTGGCTGAGGCCTGATGAAGATGTGGCAGGTGTGCTGAGTGATGACAGAATACTGATAAATGGGGGTGGGGCTGTGAGGGACACTAGTGTGTAGGCTGGGAGTCGAGGGAGTAGAGGAGGCCAAGAGAAGTGGGTGGGAAGGTCCTTCCCTCATCCCCACAGTCTTCCGTTCACCTGCCCATCCTGGTTTCATGTAGTTTTGATTGTAGCTGTATTCACCCAGAGGAGCAATGTGACATGACAAGGGGTGATCTTATTACAGCCGAACCATCTCTTGTCTGTTTGTGATGACAAAAACCAACACAGAGTCGTTTAGTCATCTGCACCCAATTTACCCAGATGAGAGGGACAGTCAAGACGCTGGGGTTTAGGAATAAAGACAAAAACAAGGTTATTCAAAAGAAAGGAAAGGGGGAAAGTGCCACTAGAAAAGGAGTAGCGATCAGGGAGTCTTGGTACACAGTTTTGGGGAAACTGATTCGCCGGTAGCTGGCAGCCAGTCTGGACTGCTGTCCTGGTGCAGGCTGCCTGGGATCCCAGGACAACAGCTGCCTCGTTTGTGGGTTGTAGAAAGATCTGTGGGCTATAGGCTGTGGTAGGCATGGCAGCTGTCTCTGCTTAATGGCTGCCATCACTTAACATCTGGCCTCTGGTGGACCAGGTCTGTCTCATTTCCCTCATCAGGAATTTCTCAAAAAATTAGATTTAAAAAATAATGAGGATGGCTAAGCTCCCACTACGTTTATAAGTTCTTTTAGCTTTTATCGCGTTCAACCCTCAGGTCAACCTATAAGATTTGTAGCCTTAACTCGGTGATGAGAAACGGAGGCCCCAGAGCTTAAACGACTTGCCCGAGTCCCACAGCTGCTGAGAGGAGGGCTCGGGGCCAGAAGCAGGGCGTTCTCAGCCTTTTCGTGGAAACTGAGGTGGGATTCAGCTCAGCTGGGAAGAAACCAGACAGCAGCCACCAGTACAACCTCATTCTCAAAGGCCACTGAGAAGCTGGCCCCGCCACCAGGCCTTCCCCCACCTGCCGGAAACTAACCAGCGCCCATGTTTAAAATATTAGCTTAGGGCTGACTCACAGCATCGGGAGCAGCCAAGCTGCTTCCCCGTGCCAGATGCTGAAAGGCTACTCTGACGCCAACCAAGCAGGAGGGAACTAGAAGTGATGTTCGAGCCCCTTCTGTGTGTAAGGCCCGAGGCTGAATGATTTGTAATTTCCCACTTGACTGAGCCCCTGTCTGTTGGGTAGGTGTGATCGTATTTTATAAACTGCGCCCATCGAGGTTCGCTCTCTGGCCCAAGGACATGCAGTCAGTGAGTGACAGAGCAGGGATCGGACTTCAGGACTGGGGGAGAGGGGACACAGGGATGCCTTTATCATTCCACGCCGCCTCCCTGAGCAGAAGTCGCCCTGTGCTCCCCACAGCGGAGGGGCCAAGCACACCTCACCTGCATCATATTTCATTCCTAACCATGAACACGGAAGGACACAAGGTAGCTAAGTAACCTCTGTCTTCCCAGTGTCCTGGGATGGAGTCTGGCGCAGAGTAGGAACTCACATGTTTGAATGGCTCAGACATTTGGGGATCTGTGGGACCAAACCAAGCGTCTCACCAACACCGGCAGTCACTGCTCGAAGATTTAAATGTCACCGACACTGTCCCCAGTTCATCCCGCAGAGCCGTCTGTTCTAGCTCTCCAGTTGTGCCGATTGCGTGGGTGAAGCTCCGTGGGATTGTCTTTTGTGGGGCTCACAGTGAACCATCCGGTGGTGCCATTTCATGGAACCAAATGTGACATTTGAAACGGCTCCAGGAGACTGCAGCGGCACATGGAACCAGGAACTTGGCAGCCCCTGATAGGAACGCTGCCCTGGGCCCATGGGCAGAGCGCCGCTGCCAGCAGGCCACACAGTGTGAGAGAGGCGCCACCTGCTGCCATTGTCCCTCAGCCTCAGGCGCCAGCTGCGAACTTCACTCGCCACGTCTGACATGCCAGCGGAGCCAAGGACACCAAACACGGAGCCCACAAGCTCAAGAAGCAGAGAGAATGGCCGTGCTGTTGCAAATTCACTTATCAAACCTTTATCGAGCGCTCGCTGGGCGTGAGAGGCTGTGCTGCATTCCAAGGGATGCCCCAGGTTCTTCTTTCAGGGGCTCACGTTCTAGCAGAGCACAGGGAGGTGCCATAGAAGGGAGCCCGGAGCAGCCACTGCCGCAGCACCAGCTGGCATCTGATGCACGCCCCCAGGGCAGCCAGCTCTGGGCTCTCTGTAGAGGAAGCCACGCCTTGTCTTAATTATTTTGAGAATAAATGGCCAGGAGCAGAAAACAGTGTTTCCAGGAACGGTGTGTCAACAGACAGTACAGCACACTCTGCTGCATCTTCCCAAGGCCCTGGGCTGGTTATTATGGCACCATGCCTTCCCGAAGGCGCTGAAATTCTCCCCTGGGCTGGGAAGGTATGTGCCTTTGTCCTCAGAGAAAGGGTAGCCCGGGTCCCTATTTCCCCATACACTGGGACCAGGTGACTAGAGTGTCTTATTTGGAATAGTAGAGGCTTCTGCTTGCCATTCGCTGGAGTAATGCGGGCCTTTGGGCACCAATAAAGAGGCAGTTCTCCACGTGTGGCCTGTGGCTGGCAGGTGGCTACGGAGGCCCTCCTGGGGCAGAGAATGGGCCCAGGAACGCAGTCCTTTCCTTGGGATGTATCTGGTGATTGACATGTGAGTCCGTTGACTTTGGTTTAGGACCGGGGTTGTTTAGAAGTCATCTCAGTGAGTCATAAAGCCTTACTCAGATTTTGGCTTTATTAGATGGAAATTAGCTTGTTACAGAATTTTCTGAAGGCTCCGCCTTTACAAATCCTAGATAACTGTGCCGCTCTGACCGAAGCTTAGAGGCTAAGACACCCGGCCGATAGAGCTCTGCGTGACCCCGGCAGCTGCAGCCCACACCAGTGGAGCCGCTGCACGGGGTGCCTCGCAGGCCTTGCTGAAGCACAGCGCTAGGGGCCTTTCTTAAAACCGTGCATGTTAATATTGCTCTTACACTGGAGATGCAGCCTGAGAATGCTGCCCTGTTTTCTGCAGTTTCCTGCGCTGTCTCCATACTTCCTGGTTTAGCACGAGCGGACTTGCAAGATGGCATATTCTAGTTAATTGTAAAACATGTTTAGCTTAGAGTTGGGATGTTTCCTATTGCAGCCGCCTTTAATTCTGTGAGCAGTTTGGTTCCTTCTGGGTCGCTGCGGGGAGCTGTACAGCTAGATAAGATCACTTCCAGGTTCCCTTTCAACTGAAGCTCCGAAATGCTGTGCCAAGACGAGTTAGAGTGGGCTTAGCTCACTTTGCAGTGAGAAAATGATCTGTTTCATCTTAGTTGGATTTTCATGTTTGCTTCTCTATAGCAACCTACAACTGTGGGACTATGTGTTCACATAAGTAATTCTTCTCCCTCTTCCTCTATCTACATTTAACTTTGCTTGTTAAAACTGACAACCCCTCCCCCAAACCTATATCATCGCCCCACCCATGTTGGGGGATCCTTAAAAGGTACCAGCCAGTAACCTCAAATGTCCCACTGAGGACATAGTAGCCCAAGGAGCAGGGTTCTGCCCCAGACTCAAAGCTACCCAGCAACACTCTGGCCTCTCGTGGGTGACCATGGGGGGCCCAGCGTTGCCCTGGCTTTGGGCCTCTTAAACAGTGACGTGAAAAGTGTCCAGGAAAAGTGTCTATGTATATTTTGGCCGGTGATGGAAGGGAAGGGATCATTTCCAGGGAAAATGTTTTCATTGACAAGACATATGATAATATCAGTCAAAAGATCATGGAAGCTGTTCGTATTTTTTTTGCTTAGGCTGCTGCCCTGGTTCACATTTATCTAGACGGGTCTGTGCTGGTGACTCACGGAGGAATTGAAATGGGGCAGGGGGTCCACACGAAAATGATTCAGGTAAGGACGCAGATCACTGGGTGAAGTGGGGTGTGCCTGAGAGAGAAACCGCGGGTGCACATTCTCGGTTCCAAAGTCAAAAGGAGAGGGGACTTTAGCTTTGTCCACTTCCGTGATGAAGCTACAAACAGAAACTGGGTTAACCATCCAGTTTGTAACAGACCCTCTTGCAAGGAGGTGGCAGAAGAGTCTTGAGTTGTCTCATTGCTGAACAAAGCTCTGTGGTAATTGGCCGCTTTCCTTTGGACATAAGAACAAGTGAGTTGTCTTTTTTAAACCTTTGCTGGAAAAATAGAAAGATGCGTAAATTCTGATGTGCCGCATGATTTCTGGCTTTTTCATAGTAAGGACTCTTAAAAAACGGATACTATAAATCACATGTGATATTTCTAATCAAACTTTACCAGTTTTCTCATGGCTCCTTTACTTTAGATTAATTTTTAGGTACTGTTTCTATTTTGCTAATCAAACCAGTAATAACAGAGGTTGTATGACATTTGTAAGAGGCAAATAATTCTTTTTTAGAAGATCCTACACAATTCCATCATTTAGCAATAATTATTGTTTTTGAGCCCTTTCCCATCTTGATTTTTTTAAAAATATATTTTTCATTGATTTCAGAAAGGAAGGGAAAGGGAGAGAGAGAAACATTAATGAGGAGAGAAAATAATTGATCAGCTGCTTCCTGCACACCCCACACTGGGGCTTCAGCCCACAACCTGGACATGCGGCCCGACCGGGAATTGAACTGTGACCTCCTGGTTCATAGGTCGATGCTCAACCACTGAGCCACACTGGCCGGGCTTGACTTTTTTCTTTTTCCAAAAATTGTCAACATGCTGTGTATAGGCTTTTGTACCCTGGTTTTTCACCTGTCCTTCCACAGAGTGAGCCCTGCTTCCTGGCATTAGAAGCCTTTGCCCTCATGACTTGTAATGGTTGCACGGGGTTATCTATATAATTTATTGAACCTTCCCCGATGGGTGAACATTTCCGTGAATATTTTTACATAAGCCTGTGATCAAGTCAGTGACTGTTTTCTTAGAATAGAATCTCAGAAATGGAATTACTGGTCACTGAGTGTGCCTTAAATCATTGGGCACATATTACTAACTTGTTTTCCAGAATGTAGCCATCTCATTACACCACTAACCAACGTTATATGCTGTGGGCTGTTTTAAAATTGTAGATAAATTGATAGGTGAATGATTGTACCTCATTATTGCTTTAATTTGCATTTTTTTCTGAATAGAGAAATGTTGACTATACATTTTCTCTCATATAATCAGTCACTTGAGAACTGTCTGGTCATATCTTTGCCCATTTGGGAGGTGAGACTTTGGTGTTTTCTTCAATGGGCCATCAGACCTTTATGTCTGAACTGATGCATTTCATGTAGACGATCTTCTGAAAGTCAGTGGTATAGCAGGACTCCCTATGACCATGGCCTTGTCACAGCTATGAGCAAATTCTATTCAGCTATCCTGCTTGCAGGAAAGAGGAGAATTTTGAATGAGCTGCAGTTAGTAATATGATTTTGCCTCCGAGCACTAGAAACAAAGGAAGAACACAGCGGCCAGCTAAGTCCTGTGCAGGCCAGCGGCCCTGGCACCGTCTCCTTTGAGATGGTGTTGGTGCTGCTGCTTTAACGAGGCCACTGTTCCTTCTCAGAAGTGCTCTTTCCTGCAGCCCCTCCGGGAATGCGGGGAGGGCATCGCCACTCTGAGAAGGTCGGCTCTCCTACAGTTTTACAGAGTGCAGCGTCGGAGAGGCCTCAACGGTGTTGATTTCATGATGACAAAGACATAAAGCACTTCTTCCTCCCGCGGCCTTGCTTCCTCTTCCTGATGCCATTGCACATAAGACAGTCAGAGACAAAGAACATGTGCACAGGACTTGGGGTCCAGACTAGCCACGGGTTTTTATTCGGAGGAACTTTGTGCAGCTGGAAGAATTTGTGCTTCTGCCCACCGGTCCCCAGTGGGCGAATCAGGGCTTCCCGCCGGTGCTACCCTGTGGGCACGTGCATGGGCCTGTGACTCACCAAAGTATTTGGAGAAAAACAAAACAACTCTCTTCTAAAATCCAGGTGGCCAGTCGTGAGTTAAGGATGCCACTGTCCAATGTCCACCTGCGTGGGACAAGCACAGAAACCGTCCCCAATGCGAACGTCTCCGGGGGCTCCGTGGTGGCGGATCTCAACGGGCTGGCAGTGAAGGTAAGGCCATTGCTGTGCCATCCAGGTCATTAGCTCCATCAGGACCAACACGCAGGTGGCACTCGGAAGATGTTGGGAATGAATTCAGCTCTTAGCCCCTCCCCACACCCTCTCGGTGGAAAGTCCTTCCCTGGCTCAGTGGTGCAGCACCAGGCGCTCTGAGCTGGAAAAGCCACCTCTTCTCGCTCACTCCTGACATCTCACTGGTGTTCAGGTCATTTCCATTCTACGCAAAAACGTCTCTGTGGAGACATCTCTACCGCCCTGATTTGCTAACACGGCTGCTGGGTTCAGACCACAGCCCCTGCCCCGACCACTGTGTGCTCTTTCTGCGCCCCAGTTACATTGCCTTCCACCTGGTTTCATGCTGCCACAGAGTAAACCTGACCAGGCTGTGCTTAAAAACAGTGATGGGTGGTTCGCCAGCAGTTTTTCTGTGAAGTCCTGACTTCGCGTGGCTCCCAGCCTAGGCTGTCACCCGTCAGCCCACCCCCGGGAGACCTGTCACATCACCTCTTACAAGATGGGTCTCTTCCTTCTCTGTGTTCCTTGGGCCTCTTAAATAAGCCTGTGTAAGGGCACATGTCATGCGGTGTTGGTATTGGTGTTTGCGTGGAATTATGATTATAATTTTAACTAAAAAATAATCCCTAGGACGCTTGCCAAACTCTCCTAAAGCGCCTGGAACCCATCATCAGCAAGAATCCTCGAGGCACTTGGAAGGACTGGGTGAGAGTCACTTTGTGTTTTATGTTAGAATGAAAGAGGGGGGAGTGAAAGGGATATGTATGAACTGAACATCAGCAGAAAGAGCATTTTAAGAGGTGCCGTAGTTACGTAGGGCAAGCAGAGGCCCTTGGGCTCTTGGCATGGGGAAATCATATCACAGGATGATGGAAGAACTTACAGCTGAGAAAATACTCTATCAGAGAAAAAGATGGTTTTTGTCTAGAACTCTTTTAAAATGCTTTAATATATTTTTTATTTTTATTTTAAATATCTTTACTGAGGTATAATTGACCTACAGTAAACTGCACACATTTAAAGTGTACAACTTGATAAGTTTTGATATATATGTACATATATGTAACCATCACCACAGTTAAGAGAGTGAACATACCCATCACCCCCAAAAGATGGGCAGTGTTCATTTGTGCTCCATTCTCACTTATCCCTTCCTCCCATGCCCACCCCACCATCCCCAAACATCTTAATCTGCTTTTTGTCACTAGAGATCAATTTGCTTTGCCTACAGTTTTATAAAAATGAAATCATATAGTATAAACTTTTTTACAGCATAATGATTTGACATTTATATAACTTACAAAGTGATTATCCTGATAAATTTAGTACTCACCTGACACCACACATAGTGATTACAATATTACTGATGGTACTTCCTATCAGAACTCCTACTTTAAGCAAGAATTAAGGTGTTTTCTAGATAATAGCTGTAAATCTGTTTGTTCTCCTTCTTTGGGTTCCACTGTTCCTACAATGGGAAGAAAACACTTCCCAGTTCTCCTTCTATAAAACTAAAAACCATGTGAACACTTATTTAGAAATAGGAAAGCAAGCCATTGGCTATATATTCAACCAATAGTTGAAATGGAATGGAAATATTTCACTGCTTCCTTTGATCTACGTGTGATGTAGTTGGAAGAGAAAACACCCATTCAACCAGCAAAGTTTTCAGAGTAATAGGTTCTAAAGCACCAGATGACATGGAATGGATATCAATAAAGGCTGGGAGCGTGTGCCATGATGACGGCTCTAGCATGCCACATTAGAAGCATTGGTCTGGAGGAAATAACGTTTGGGAAGTCTTACTTAGAAATGGTTTCTTCTATTCCATAGAGTTAGGACTCGCTCTATAATTCATATTTATGGGAGCACTCAGTCCCTTTGGGGAATATTTATTCTGCCCTCTTGCCTGTGCTGCCTGGGCCCGGGAGGCTGAGGAGTCTGGTTGGAGAAACGCCATCGCACTGCGGTGAGATGCAGGGCAAGAGGCTCAGTCCTCCACCACTGGGCAGTGCTGCCATTCAGCCCACTTTCTGCTGTATGGTTGCACTTCTCCTATTTTCTTTCTCAGACTTGGGGACTTGGACCTAACCCCCATTTTCCCATCTATTAGTCATCTGTGTGCGCTGCAAAGTCAGGAGAACGTTTGCTTCAAATGGTACAATTTAGCACAAGATTACCTCTCTCCTATGACTGTTATGGATATATGATGTTAAAGTGAAACATGCAACCACCCATTGTTTCCTGAAATGTTCCGTGTTAATAGGCTTAGTCTTTCCAGATGACTGAGCGAGAGTCTTTATGAGCAGAATATGTGCTGCCCAGCACAGTCCAGGCTGTCTGTGTAGCATGCTGTGGCATCACTGATGACAGTGACATACATTGAACAGGTGCTGGGACCACAACCAGTGAACCACACATACCAGCGGAGGTGGAGGATGCCGACAGGAATAAATTAATGTTGGTTCTTCCTAGTTATGACCCCTGCGAGCTTTATGTAGCATACCGCAGTTAAAATGGAAGTTTCCAGTGATTCTGATTGAAACACCCTTATTGTGTCCCGACCCCCTCTTTCACAGGCGCAGGCGGCTTTCGACGAAAGCATCAGCCTCTCGGCCACCGGGTACTTCAGGTAACCTGTCCTTTCTGTCTTGGCTCCGGGAAGCGGCAGGGGCATCTGGAGGAAGCATTTCGCTTCTGCTTGCAGCTGTGGCACCAACTGTACCTTCTAGTGACCCACTGTAATCAAAAACATTTAGCTGCCACTTAATCCAAATGTCCAGAAAGGTTGTTGTTGGGGGAAATAGGCCCACAAATAAAATGGGCCTATTATGAATCGATGGTTCGGATCCTACTGGGTAGTTCTAGAGCTGTTGTTGGGGGAAATAGGCCCACAAATAAAATACAGCTGAATCGATGGTTCGGATCCTACTGGGTAGTTCTAGAGGGTTCTCTGGGGCTAGTGAAGGGCACTGACAGGAACCTACAGCAGTGGCTGACCTTTTGTTGAAAACTCAGTATATTCCTTAAGTTCAAAAACAAAGGTGGAAAAAAATGCAATAAAATCCATAATAAGATAAACAGCATTAACACTTTCCAGCTTGGCAAAAGATCAGAAATGTGACAATAACTATGTGTTATCAAGATGTGGAAAAAGTGGAACTCCCGTGCTTTGGAAAACAATTTATCTGATTATTCAAATGGAGAGTGGAAGCCATCAGAGAGAGGCTGACCTGATTTGCGCACCTTGCCAGTTGTCCTGGGAGTCCCAGGCACTGTCTGGCTATGGAGAACAAGCACTGGAAGCATTTTTAATGGCCACCTCCAGGTAGGGAAGCAGGAGAAAGGGGTAGGGAGTCCTGGAAAGCTGCTGGCTCTTCTCTTTTACCAGACATTCACTTGGTGTCCTTAAAGACGGGTTGATGGTGAACATGCATGTGGTGTCCTAGAAGATGGGTGGAAGGGTACATGCATTTGGTGTCCTTAAAGATGAGTTGATGGTGGGAGATTGGAGTATTCTCAAAGCAAGAGAGAGATAGCCTAGGTGCCTTATCCCTCACACAGGAGGCTAAATCCTGGGGCCAGAAAGACAAATAAACAGGTCAGTGTGAACCTTTGAAGTAGTGTGTTGTGTAAGAAGCAGGTGGAATTCCCCAATCTGATGACAGTAGGATTATCTGAGCTAATATTAGCTCAAAGCAATGGGGTCGATAACCCTACAGTCAGCAGTTAACTTCCAGGCTTGTGGAGTCATTGGTAGGGAACAATTGGATGTTTTTATCAGGAAAAACAAATTTAATTAGGAAGAAGTAAAGACTGATTTATGCAACATATTTATTGCATGTATGTGCAGGCACATCATTGCACATGTCTACTCATCTGGTTTGCAGGACATACAAATCGAGCTCAGCTCTAATAACAACACTCCTCAAGCATTCTCTTTCCTCCAGGGGTTACGAGTCAAACATGAACTGGGAGACAGGCGAAGGCCATCCCTTCGAATACTTTGTTTACGGAGCCGCCTGTTCCGAGGTTGAAATAGACTGCCTGACAGGTGCTCATAAGGTCAGTACCGATGGGGAGGGTCTCCAGGCTGCACGCTGGATGCACCTCAACCCCACATACCCCTCACTGAGCACCACGGAAGCACCAGGAATTTGGCCTAAAGACAATTCTCTGTATTATCAGAGGAAAATAGAAGCCCAGCAGTTCCCTTGGTGCTATGATTGCTCCCATGGAAAACAACCAGTGGCCTCTCTTCTTTACTTCCCTGGCCCTTTAATGGAATAAGGAAAGAAGCCACTTCAAGGAAGAAACACAGCCTACAGGGGGCTTCCATGTAGACTGTGGGGACAACTGGCAGTGGTGACCACTTTGGTGAAATGCCATCATATGGGTGCCAAGTCATAAGCACCCATACTCTGCTAACAAGACAGAAGCCACAGTCTTTTATAGCCTGATATTGGGGTGACATACGATTACTTCTGCCATATCCTGTTGGTCACATAAACCAATCCTGGTAAAATGTCGGAAGGAACCACAAGAAGGCTTCATCCTTATGATACCAAGATGTGGGGGTCATTTAGGGCCATCTTGAAGGCTGGCAGCCACAACCTAAAGCCACTCTCTCCAGCCCTGTAAGTCCTGTAACTCCACAGCTTTGAAAGTAAAAGCTTCACTCGCATGGCAGACTTGAGAGCACCTCCCCTCCCCTCCGATGGGGGCCACTGGTCTCATGGACGGCCAGCCTTACTGCCTGATGTCAAAGAGAACTTTACACTTCATTGTGTCTTTAAATAAGAGAGACGAGGGCCTGATGTTTTATTATAGCGGAACATTCCAGATCACTGATTTTCATAAAAAAAAATGTCAGATGAAAGTCCCTCTTCAAAGAAGGACACTCTTGGGTTTCCTTCGTCCCATTAATAGTTATGAGTAGAATCTGTTTGCCATCGCCATTATGAAACCACTATGTCCCATCAGAGGCGGTGCAGGCTCGCCGGAGAGCCCAGGTCTGCCAGCAGCCCGGCTCCTCCTTGGTAGGTTACTGGAGAATTTTTAGTCACCAAGTTTCAATGTTAGATTTACTGTCTCTTCAGCTCTAAAAATGAAAAATCTAGAACAGCAGATAATCACTGAAAGACTTTTTTTGCTGATGCACCCTGAGTTCTGTGATTCAGGAAACTGCAAGCAGCCAGTTGGGTGTTGGGTTGTATAGTCACCACAAAGTTTCGCAATGAGGACCACGAGGGCCATGGAGGTTTTCTGTTTTCTGTGTCGTGTCTCATGTCATGCACTGGATTGAACTCAGTATGTTACATCGCTCAGCTGGAATCAAAGCCAAGTCAATATTTTCCTCTCCTGTTGTTTCCAATAAAAATAATCAGTGTTTAAGCGGGTGGAGAGTATTTGTAGAACTCGGAAATTCATACATAATACACGTGGTAACATACAATGTTGCCTCTTTCTTCTGAAGTATAGTGTGGCCCAAAGAAAGGTTCTATAGCCACGCCACCCTGACAGGACTATCTCTCAGCATTCCCTCCCTGTGCTGTGTTCGTCACAGCAAACATTCTAACTTTTTTTTTTAATGACTAGAACATCAGGACAGACATCGTCATGGATGTTGGCTGCAGTATAAATCCAGCCCTTGACATAGGCCAGGTATGTGGAACTGACTTTCCTCGCTTCCTGTGTGTAAAAGCCAAGGCTGCTATGGGGTCTTCAGGGGAAACATCCCACCTAACTTATTCCTCATCTCCCTTTTCTACCCCGGAGTCAGAATCTTTCTATTCAGACCAGCCACACAACTCATCTCTTACTGTTTAAAAAGGGAAGGAAACAAAGGTGTTTTAGGTCATGTTTGAAGAAACGTGCAGCCTGGGACTGGGCAGCTTGAACGAGGGAGGGCTAAGCTTGGAAGGGACAGAACGAGCCCCACATTGGGGGTGGAGGTAAAGGAGGGTGCTCAGTGCTGAGCCTCGGCCTGCAACAGGCTTGAGCTTCGAGGAGTTTGGAGCTGGGCCGGGATAACAAATGTCACATAACTGCAGCAGTAGTGATGGAGAGGCAGCCTATGTTGCCCCCAGATGTTTTTTATTTAAATTTACAGTAACTGACAAGATTGAAAAATCACAAGCTGTTTTCCATCAATATTGAAATGTCTGGCACATCTAAGAGCTTGAAGAACACAGTTCAAACCCTTGATGGTACAAGTGGGGAAACTGAGTCCAGGGGTGTGAGGCTGGCCAGCTCGTGAGCAAGAATGTTAGGAGGGGTGATTTGGTCCCAGAGGCCCGAGAGCCTTTCCTACTGGGCTGGGACCTGTGGACATGTCAGTCAGAGTTTCATCTGGAAGAAAACACGAGAGAGTTGAACCTCCAGGCTTCCTGAGGCCTCTTCCAGGGCCCTTGACAGGCTAACGTCAGGCTAAGATTTGAACTCAAGGCCTTTGACGTTGAACTTAGTGCTCATAAGATGTTTAAAAGGCTTTTAGGCAAACTTTTATGTAAACTTCATAGACGTTTTCCAAGACATACTGAATACCCCCTCTTGCACTGTATTTTAAAAATTCAGACAAACAGCATGAAGTTGAAATGCTACTGTTGACTGCATTTTCTCATACATGGAAATTTTACTTTTTATTTTATTTTTTTGGCCTCAGATCGAAGGTGCATTTATTCAAGGCATGGGACTCTACACAATCGAGGAACTGAATTATTCTCCTCAGGGTGTCCTGTACACTCGCGGTCCAGACCAATACAAAATCCCCACCATCTGTGACATCCCCACAGAGTTTCACGTTTCCTTTTTGCCTCCATCTCAAGACTCAAATACCCTGTATTCATCTAAGGTAAGTTATCCTCCATGAATAAATGCATGCTGATGAGATACTCGTGCAGGGAGGGAAGGGCTGCATTCATCTTTTGGTTATTTGGAGTTCTTACCAAGTTCTTACCAAGAAAAAAGGCCTTATTAAGCATTTTAATTATAAAATAATTTAACATAATTCTTTTTAAATACTCCAAATCTTGGAGCCTAACACAAACTACTGTTGTCATCAGGTTGCATCTGAATTTTCACGTTGTGATCATCATCTTCATGCCCATATCTCCTTTCTCCATTTGGGATCATTTCCTTAGACTGGAATCCTAAGAATGGGAATATTAGGATTAAATAGTAAATTGCTTTTTTTTTAAGGAAAAAGTTACAGATTTAATATTTTATACATGCACACATGTACTGTAGACAGAGAGAGAGAGAGAGAGAGAGAGAGAGAGAGAGAGAGAGAATCTAGTTCACTTGTCCCCTTGCAGGGCCTGGGAGAGTCTGGCGTATTCCTGGGCTGCTCAGTGTTCTTCGCCATCCATGACGCGGTGAGTGCAGCGCGACAGGAGAGAGGCCTGCGTGGACCATTGAAGCTCAATAGCCCACTGACCCCAGAGAAGATTCGAATGGCCTGTGAAGATAAGTTCACAAAAATGGTATGCTCTGCTCATCAATTTCTGAATTTTTGTCCCCTGTCCTGTGGTCAGGTGTTATTAGCCCACCATGGCAGTTTTCCGTGGAAGAAAAGGTGACAGGAATCCCAAGGGCACTTGAACAGGAGAAGAGCAGCATGGCCTTGAAGTGCATTTTCCATCAGCCTGGCCCTGTTACTGGGAAGGGGACCCAGCCCTGAGCGGGTCTGCCTGGGGCCAGCTGTTGGTGTGTGGGTTCTTGACTTCGTGAAGGAAAGATTTCATAGCATGAGTCCTGAGGCTCAGTTCTGCACTTCTTGAAAAAAGGAGGTTTCTTTTTTTATCATCAGTTATGTTCCTCCATTCTTTTGTTTTTTCCCAGGACACATTGGTCCAGGATAGAAGTTTAGGTGCTGTGCCCTGAGCCTCAGAATCCAGGCCAAGACTATGGGCCACTCCAGCAGCCAGTCTATCTCAGTCCACCCCTCCCAGGCACTGGGAGTGTACAATTCCTGATCTGAGTTGCACACACTCAATGGGCCCTTTCCCAGCCCCCAGTAGCAGGAATCCTGCCTACATCCACACCCCTGCTGAGCAAACATCTGAGCTCTCCTTGGTCATTTTCAGTGATGGGATTTTTAATTGTGGGAGGAATTCCCAGTGACCTCTCTGACTATAAACACGTTATTCCTTGTTTATCCCTGTATTGATGGGAGAGCCCCATATCTCTGCACATGCTGGCTCTTTGTGGCACCCCTTACTGGTACAGCTCTTCCTGACCCCATGAGTCACCTCTTCTCTCTGGAGAAACACAGACTGATTCCACTTTTCATTTGTCCCTCTTCAAAACGGGATGAAAACTCCCGTAGCTGCTCTATCCCCCCGACCCTGAGTCCTCTCCTGGATTCCTCCACATTTCTCACACTGCCATTGCCAGACCTCTCATTGTCCTGGTCGCCCTCGGGTGGTCTTTATCCTATTTTATATGCTGCTGTATTTCACCTGTCACAAATGTTTTCCAAATGCAAACGTGCACATTTGTCCTTTTATTCTAGATTCCAAGAGACAAACCTGGATCCTATGTTCCTTGGAATATACCCATATGATCAAGTACAGAATTTGGGAGAAAATCGGGTGACTCTTCCAATATAGCAATCTACCCTGTTTCTATGCTCTAGGATGCTCGGAATGAAAGACAAATCTCCACCGTTCAGAAGTCATTTCACAGAGTATTGCTTTTATATGACGCTGACTTCGAACGTTCCATTTAGATTTTGATAGATATGCTTAAGCAATTTAGAAATCATATTTTAAATGTTGTAAACACTAGCTGGCTTCCTCTAAGATATTCCCCATCACTCTGCCCCTTAAGCCTTCCGGCTGAATGGAATAGAAGGTAATGACTTGTATGTGATTCACATCTGGCTTATATGCAACTGAAATTATACTGTCTAGTGAAAGGAAGTTTTCTAAATGATTTTATTAGTAGTATACACTGTAAAGGATATTCACTTTTTACTTTATACGCTTTGTATGTTTTAGTTTCTAAAAATATGCTTTAGTTTTGTCATTTAAAGCAAATTAATAAACAGACCCATTTAACACCTAGAAACAGCACCTGAATGCATTACATCTCCATGGTTTAGTTCCATTTCATTGACTAAAGGTCTTTGTTGCTGACTGCAGAGAATTTTATTCCAGGGGGTCCCCTCAGGGCAGGGAGAAGTGTGCATTGTGTAAGAATGAGGTTGAGATTGAAATTTCAAATTGGTTGAAGGGAGGAGGAAACTGGAGTTAGCAGAGGAAGGTGGGGACATGAGAGGGTTGAGAGCATAGAGGCAGAATGTGACTGGAGGAACACACTCAGAGAACAAGCCAAAATCACCCCCCACCTGGGGGGCTGCCTCAACCAGCTGTCCCTCCTCCCGGGAGATCTCAGCTAGTCTCTCAGGTGGACACAGCAACAGTGCTTTCTATAGGACAACTATCGGCCAATTGTTATAGCATAACGTGTAGTCTAAGAAGTCAAATGAAGTTGTTTTCTTTGTGAATGGAAGAATGGTAAATTTTCCACATTGTTATTTCTACATTTATGTAGAGAAAAAAACCACAGTAGAAAGTAGGTGTCCAAGTGACCAGTGTGTGAGCTGGGGATTTGCTCTGATTGTGATAAACCCGTATCAATTTGTATTTATAGTTCTCTGGGGGAAAAGAGAGAGAGAAGAAAGACCGAGAATGAGAGAGCAAGAGAACGGATACAGGAGAGAGAATCTACGCGTGAAAGGTATTAGGATTCCTCATGGAAAGCACTTGGTTATGTTGAGCCTTCAGACTACATTTTGTAATTGCGTTTGTATTCATCTAAGTGTTAGGCATCACCTTCTCCTTATTATGATTTTCTTCATCTCTCTCTTCTCCCCCATTCCCTTCCTCCCCTCTGTCTCCTTGAACCACTACCAACACCACACACAAACACACATGAGTATAAAACCTTCAGGTTATTTTCAAATAATTATAAAATTTTGACCAGCAAGAATAGAAGGGAAATCATACCGGAAAGCTAGAAATACATTTCATAGTTAGTTCACATTTTTATATTTGCTCCTTTAAGCAGAGATTCTTAAATTACTTAACAGCACATTTTTATATGTTGCTCCTTTAAGCAGAGATTCTTAAATTACTTAACAGAATGGACAAAATAATTTTCTGGTCCTACCTTTGTTTTGAGTTCATGAATGGAATGTGCTCCTGCTTTTCACTGTCCTTGAACCTGCACCTGAAGGGCAACCCTGTATCAGTGTTTTCAGCTCCACAACCAAGGGGAAGAGTTAGTTACGGTTGAAACCGAGCCCACGCCCCCACCAGGCTGTGCAAAGAAATGGAAGCTCCATGTATATAATGTACCCAAGATCACTCAGCATTAGAAAGACCCTGTTTTTCATCTGTCTGCTCCCCAGGTTGCATTCTTTCCTCTGTGACATGTGTCCTCTCCTAAGAAGGTAGCGAGCCTTCTAGAATCCTTTCACTAACAGGAAGAGGGGTGGGTGGTGCCAGTGTGTTCCTGTGGGTGCTGAAATAACGCCATTACCTACGGCTGCCAACGTCTTGTTTTCTTAACTTTGCAAATATGAGTCAAGAACAAAGAACATGTTTTGCAGGTAGCGGTGAGAATTAAAACTCTTTTATTCAACTGTGTGAACTCAAGATTTTTTAAGTTTATAACTATTCAATATTTCACAATCTTTTATGATTTACCCAAAACCAGTGCTGTATTAGAATATAAATTCTTGCTGATTTATCTTCTGAAACAAAGCCAAACATTTGTCCTGCTGAAATAAAACAAAATACAATACAGTATTACATCATTTTATAATTGCAAAGAGTGATGTTTGATCAACTCAGGCAAACAAGATCAGCAAACATATCTTCAATGACTCTTAGCTATTCATAAAGAACGGGCTACAGGAAAACTGCCTCAATCGATAGGATCATTTCCTCTGCACAAATCATTGAGAAGAATTCAGGCCCTGAAATATATTTATTATTCTACCTGCAGGAAAACTATATCCTTTTGTTTGTTTAGGAAAGCAAAGCAAATAATAAACTCTGGAAACTTTGCAATCTTTCTGGCATTTGCACAACTTTTTTCTCTGTCACACTTCATTGCAAAGATTTTGATTTAGCTCCTGTGCACAAAGACACGAAAAGGGGACAATTCACATTTATCTTGGTTCCTATAATAAAATGAGAAAAGCAAGGCTGCATTGTCTGTGTTTGGTCTGTGTAAATGGGCATGCTGCTAATTCTAGCCAGAAAAAAATACTTTTGTGATGTGGCTATTTTGGTGTGTTATGTAACAGTCTTTAATCAAGACTGTCTATGTTGAATATTCCCCATACTAAGTTATAAACACTTTTTGGGTAAGGATTGTGTCTTGTTCTAAAAATACCTCCACACCAGAGGAATTGGTGTGCCATAAAGGTTGCTGGCAGACCACTGGGCCAG